ATATTTTAATTTTTTTCACCCTTATATTCATTGTCGAAACCACTATAAACTTTTGATTTTCAAATGGTAAATTATAATAAAAATATCATGAAAAAATAAAATGTTTATAATAAATGTACACGTTAACATTTTTATTTTTCATTGATTGGTTTGCAAGATACAGCTCCTYAAAGTATTGATGGTTGAAGGAGGTATTATATTCGGTAAATGCGGTATTGTTCATACTAAAATATTACAGTAGAACCTCATTAATCAGGACTAATAGGGGCTTTAGGTTGTCAGATATAATGAAAGTCCGGATTAAACAAAATAATCAAAAAACATGTCCCTATTATAGATTTAAGAATATTATATTAAATTAAATACTATACAGTGTGTTCACCGATTTAGGGAACACTGAATTTCTCAGCCGGATTTGTTTGGAATAAATCGATTTATTTTTACAAACTAGTGGTATATGAATATACATTTTTCGATACATTTCAAAATTTTTTGAGAATTTGGCCTGCGCATGCACAGTAAAAACTTTTTTTTAAATAGCAACACCTATTTTTAACACCATATTCGGATAGGCCTATTTTTTTAAAGTAATTTTCATGTATCAACTATGGCTGAATAAATTGACTGAATAAGAGCCGTGCAATTTTATTAAATAATACATTTTTAAACATTTTTAATTAATTCTTATTGGTTACTTTTTGAATATTTGAACGTATTTTTTTTTGGAATGTTATAAACAAGACTAACATAATATGGATACAAGGATACAACATTATTTATTAAAAATCGACTAAGTACAACAAGTGAACAATAGTTATTTTATAATTACACAATAAATTAAATAAATTGTTCAAAGTTTGCTTCAAAGCAATAAATAATTATAAATGTTTAAAAATGTATTATTTAATAAAATTGACATGGCTCTTATTCAGTCAATATTGAACATAGAGCCATAGTTGATTCATGAAAATTACTTTAAAAAAATAGGCCTATCCGAATATGGTGTTAAAAATAGGTGTTGCTATAAAAAAAAAAAATTTTACCATGCATGCGCAGACCAAATTCTCAAAACATTTTGAAATGTATTGAAAAATGTGTATTCATATACCACCCAGTTTGTAAAAAAAAAATTGATTTATTCCTAACAAATCCGGCCGAGAAATTCAGTGTTCTATAAATCGGTGAACACACTGTATATGATATATTGCAACATAATAATAGATCCATCAAAATCATTACATATCAATGTAATGCATATAATCATAATTATTATATATTTAGGCACACTTTCATTAACTAGTTTGAAAAAACTGCTAATCTTTTGTTGTCTTCCTTTCTGATTTATTTCTCGTATTAATAATTCACGTRGATGCCTCAAATGTTTGTAATATGCAGATATGTTTAAATCGTCATTATCTTCAACATATTTAAGGACAATATTTAGATGGTCTTTAATTTCACCAAGTTATTAGCTTAGACTAGATACTATTGTCTACTTCATCTTGTTCTTATATTCATCCATTTCAGAGTTTTCTGCAGCGATGAGGCTTTCAACAATCTCTTTTTCTGTTAAAATGTGATAGCTATTATGTTTATTTTAGTTTACGGCATATACTGTGTATGTTTTTTGTAATATTAAACAACTGTCTAGATTAAGCAAAGTCCAGACTAATGGGGTTCGGATTAATGAGGTTCTACTGTATATGGTATAAGAAAAACATAAGCCTAGAAATTTTAAAAAAGTTCATACTTTTGAGATAATTAATGTACCCACTTAAATGGATTATCCTGTATAATGCATGAATAGTTTTTTTTTTTAACGATTTTTTAGGATAATTTTATTATACTAAAATATAATATATTATTATTAAATTATATTATAATATTATCTAAGACTATATAATATCATTGATTATAAAAACTAGTATTTAAATTCAAAGATAGTATATGTTCAAATAAAGTATAATTATTTTCTGTTAATTAGTGTATGTAAGTTGTTGACATTAGGTGGGCATCTAGATAGAACGATTATTCTATTCTACAAATTATGGATGATAAATTATATTAAAGTAATAGTTACTATGAAATTTAATAATTATTTTAACCTTAATTATATACTTAAAAGCACTATTTAATAAGAGTCACTTAATTATAATAAGTTAATAATTTTTAATTAAATAAAACGTAAAAAAAATATATTACAAAGATAAATAATTTGCAATATTGAATATATACATAATATTAAATATGTAAATAATTTAGATATATACAATATTGCAACTTGTGGCAATAAGAATACTTTTAATTAAAACATAATGTAGTTGGAAGCACCATATTAGCTTTGTTTTTTATTTTAACTCACTTATTTGTTAACAATAGTAACAGTAACTGAAGAGCTGGCCACCGTACATGAAAATCAAATTCTTCCAGATAATCCAAAACCAATCCAACATTTTCTATTTTTTTTATGAATATTTCTGTGAAACGTTCACCTAATTTATGCGAATCTTTTGCAGTTACATCAGGAATTTCTGAAAAAAATTAAAATGTATGTATTTATAAGCTAATAAATATTGGTATATACTTAGTTTCACTCAACAAAAATTTTATTTAGTGCATATAAATTTAATTTCTTAGCAATGAATATGTTAATTATTGGGTAGTTAAGTTTTATACTTTTGTTTTTATGTTTTATCGGTCATCGCCTTTTAAAAAAGTAAAACATATTTAACCCTCAACTTTGATGTTGGTTCTGGCAAAGTTTAAATTGATGATTAAAAAATTAAAAATTCTCAGTACTTTATTGTCTTTTTAAAATAAACTAAAAAAAATTTGTACATAATATCTACTTGAAATTTTCTCTAAAAATTATGTTTGCATTTTTTAAACAAAATGTTGGTTCTTTTTCAGATATTTAAAGACATTTTAAAATATAAATTTTGTAATATTAGTTACATCTATTTATACACTATAGGATTGACCAATAAAAAATATACACACTCAATACTTTTCAACTTGTCCAAATTATTACTTATATTAAAATGACATGTGGCAGTTAACCATTAACACAGACAAACTCACTTATACACTTATTAAAAGCCACCACCCAAGACAATAAAGTACTATTTTAAATAAAATTATCTTTATAGATTAATAAGCCAAAGTGGAGGGCCAGCGAGAACTTTGGTGGGCTCTGGAGCTTATCAATTTTAGGCCCTTTCAATTATACATTATTCAATAATTATTCAATAATACATTCTACATCATCAAGTAGCATACTACTTTTTATGTTTCTTTTTAATAAATGTTAATTAAATACATTTTTGTAAAGTTTTTCTCAGTCAAAAATTTTAAAATGTAATGCAAGGTTCCTTAATTTTGCAGGAATCAAAATTATTGAAATACAATCATAATTTTTAATAAGAATTTAAAGTTTAAATTTTAATGAAATATTATATTTTGCGAGCATTTTATATACAATCATTAAATTCAAATTCAACACTTTCGTAATAGTAGTAGTGAAATTTCCATTTTTTAATTTAATTTAAATTTTAACAATAATAAGAAACAAGAGTCATGAGAGTGATATACCAATAATTTAATAACAAAATATTTCAAATAATAATTAGTAATTACTAATAGTTTTGAATAAACGAAGGTAATAATTTACAGTTAACCCTATTWGGTAAAAGTTTTCAAAAAAAAACTTATTATTATAGTAACATGAATTACTGTTACCCGTAAACAGGACTACTAAAATTTTTTTTAAATTAGGAAAACATACTATAATCATAATGAATAAAATATCACCAAAAATTTGAATATTATGATGTATGTAAGACATAAATATTAAACATTTTTTTCCTATTGCTTTCAATATAGATAGTATACTTTTAATAATAAATCTATTGAATAGGTAACCTACTAGAAACGAATAATATACAGGTATCAGGTGATTACTACAATTAATAAAGATTACCTAAGTAAGTTGTAAATAATTACATAGATATAAGTAATAGTTGAATATAAAATTAACAGAATTTCAAACACTACTTTAGAATTAATACTTTAAATACATAATATAGAATTATCAAATAATGTATAACCTTTATCATAAATTTTACCTTCTTCTTCATAAATTTCATTATGCATAATGAGTCTTAACGTGTCCAAAGCATAGCTAGCTATTTCAGCATCAGCGCGGTCTTGTTGCAATACTAGACACAAGGCGTCCATTCCTTTTGCACCCACTTCAATGCGGTATTTTCGTGATAGGGCTCTTAGTGCCCTACATGCATCACGTCTGTCTGCCAGCAACGTGGAATGTTGAACTCGATCCACCAAACGTTCAACCTATGGAAAAGGTAAAAAGTTGCCAGTTAAAATGTTAAAGCATAAGCTAACTAATATTTTTCAAACCATAGTGACATCAACACAAACACTATTATTATATAAATACTATAGAAATTCATTGACATATATAATTAAGTATGTGTTAGTCACAACATAAAAATCTAAAAAAACCGTACAATATCGGCACCGGACGGCTGGTCTTCGACAACGGGCGTACCGAGCACCGTTTTTAAGCCACTTTTAAAATATTCCATCAATATAACCAATTTCCTTTGCGTTTGCTACATTAAAAATGAAAAAAATCGTACAGAAACATTTTTTTCACATGATATTTATCTAACGAACAGATGTCAAAGGATGGCAGTGGAAAACTGGTGAAGAAAAAAATTTAAAACAATTAAAATATCAATACATTTTTATTATGATAATAATAAGTAATGAATAATAATAATTTGTTATCATTTACACGGAGACGGACACGACGGCGTAGATCCTAAATTCTTAATTCTTATCATAGCCACGTGCTAACGAAAATGTGAACCACAGCAAGTTTTATATGGTTCGTTGAAGCAGAGTGGTGGAAAACGACATAAGATATTATGATAGACTGGCAACTTGCAGCTTATCAGTATCAGATTTAGCTGTCTTATCTATAGTATTTGTCACTTTGTCAGTTGTCAATATTTACTWTTTAGAGGCGAGAGGCCACAAGTGTACAAAATACAAATGTAAACTATTCTTTAATCTATGCTTGTAAGTTGAGATCCTGAAATCCTGAGTCGAGTTCCGATATACTGCAGGCTACTGTATGTTTTATGTATGCTGCATAATGCATTGCTCAACACGGACCAGTGAATCAGATGATTATTGACGATATTACCTCATCAATATTAATAATAACGACTAATTAACGTCAATTTTAATATTTGAATTTTCAAACGTAAGTACATAACTACGACTTGAATTATTAGAATATTTTGTCCTGTGCTTGGGGTGTTGAAAATCTTGGGACTTCCGCATTGATTGTGCCTGTTGATAATGGATAAGACTATGGAAAGGAAGTTTTTGAAAACCACTGTTTGCGGAATATTGATGGAAATTGGATTTCAAGCAGCAGAACCAGGTGCTTTGGAGACCCTCGTCGAAATGCTCTTTAGTGGTCAGTAAATTTTATCGCAACTGGCTATATGCCTTAATTAATTTTATATTTCAGTTGTTTGAATAATAATTAATATATGATTAAAATGATAGGTACCTAATGGGCAAAACTATTAAGTGTCTTGTCTAATACTTATCTGGAAGCCATGACATACCTACCTTTTACTAAACATTTTTCATTATAATTAATGTGAGTTCCATAACACAATTTTACTGAGTGACCTTTTTTTTAATTCACAGCTACATATTGGGTTTGATTGAGTATTTACTTTTTTATTTTGTGTAACTTATAATATAATATTATTAGTATTTATTACCTTATGTACCATCTGAAATTTTACTACACTAGTCAGCTAAAAAATTGATAAATGAAATACAAACAATTTCAACCATAAACTGTTCCTTATTTGTTTCAAATGAATTGTTATTGCAATAGGTATTGCTTCTGAAGATCACTTGCAAACAATGTATTAATATGCATAAATATTATCACTCAACACCTCTTATGTAAAAATATAATTTCTTTTCTAATTTCGAGTTAGTATAGATAATATATTTAAGCGAATAAGTTTATAGTGATTTTCATAAACCTATAATAAAAAAAAAAATTATTGATCATCTATATTATTATGTATTATTCTCATATTGTGATATGTAATTTCTCATATAYATGAAATTAAAATGCATTTTATATTTTCAACATCAGCTGTGTTCCACAGGTTTAATATTGCGAGGGTGGTTCACTGGTACCACTAAAATAAAAATAAATAAATCATACATTTTTAAAAATCTTTAATATTGAATTTAGAATATAGAGACAAAAAAAAATAATAATTAATAAAAATCATATTAAATAAAACATATTTTTTTACCATGATTTCCATATAATTTTTCTTAAAATTATGAGACAATAATTGGTGTTTGGTATAAACGTTTAGTCATAAAGATATATTCTTTTTATTTTATGTATTATTTAATTTATATTAAAGACTAACTTTCAGTTTATATCGTAAAATATCAAATGATATGATTATTATTCTAAATTATTTTTTATTAAGTTATTATTCTACATTACAATTTACAATATGGGAACTATTGAGTATCCTTAAATAAAATGTACCTATCTTACTGTGCTTCTGATTCTAATGAAAATATTGTACATTTTCAATGATAATATTTTATATTAAAAATTATAATTATTTAAAGTGTTATTTGTAATTAATACAATATATTTAAATGTTTTTATTTTATTTTAGTGTTATCCCAARTGGGAAATAGTAGTCGTCGTTATGCAGAAGTAGCTGGGCGTCTCGAGCCTCTTGGTGCCGATGTTATGATGGGCTTAATCGACATGGGTCTATTCAAGAATGCATCCAGCCTATTAGCTTATGCCAAACGATCAAATAGAGCTGTCCTCCCTAGTCCTGTTCCATCTGTACAGCCCCGTCAAACAAGTAACCTACAAGCAGGGACAAGACTGCCACATCCACCATATATGCCAAGTCATATGCCAGCTTTTCCAGATCCACATGCATACATTAGGACCCCAGTAAGAACTCTAGTTCTGTGTCAATATATAACACACATATTAATTTCTACAACACAATACATTATTTATTTTCAGACACACAAACAACCAGTAACTGAATATGAAGCGATCAGAGAAAAATCTGCTATTCAAAAGCATGAACTTGAAAAATCTTTAATAAAATTTTTAATAAAAACTGGCCCAACTGAGAGTTTATTTTTGAACCAAGAAAATGATTGCTTTGCTTGTAAGTATAATATTACCTTATAAAGTTATAACTTAATTTTCCAAACAGTCTTGAGTACTATTAATTCAGAATGAGATTTTGGAGAGCCAAATTAATTTAAGTTTATAAAAAAACACTATGATTAATTTTTTTAGTTGAATATTTCTCAACAATGATGACTTTTTTTTCTATTCCATTGGGTACTTACTTTTTTTTACTATTATTAGGAATATAAAACAAAACAATTGTACAATAATGTGGTACAATACAAAGTTATGATGATAAATTGTAAAAGTGCTATATGAATTATAGCTTGAATTGGAAGTTACCCATTGGTAATAACTCATATACTTATTAGTTTAACAAATTGTGACTTTAAGTAAATTTATCAAGAAAGGAAAGTGATACAATTTATTTTGTAAGGTTTGGCGTCAAAGATCAATTTGAAATGATATTGTTTTTAATAAAGTTTTTAAAAAGCTTGGATCGAGCAGATATCAAATAGTTTAGTTGAACTCCAAATTTGATACATCATTATTAGGTTTTTTTTATTATAGCTTTAAGTTACAACTAACATAGCTCAACATTATTAGTTATGAGTGTTATTACCATACTAAGTCTAATCACATCTTTGTACAATAATAATCTGGTTTGAAATTGAATTTGGGCTTTAAAAGAAGACCCAGTCTATTTCAATTGGTTCAGTTTGCGATAGCACATTAAATCGATTTTTTGATATACATAGTTTTTATATCTGTTAATATTTTGATTTGGAGAGTTTGACTCTGAGGAAGTTGAGTAATATCTTTTATCAGTGTGATATGTCCCGCCATAATTGTTCAGCCTATTTTCGTTTGGATGAAAGATTTGGCCAATACAGGTGATAATAACAGTGACTTAAGAAATAAAATTTCAAATAGTTGTGTGAATGTGTGATGTCTTTCATTGTCGTTTCCGTAGTCGCTTTATTGATTACAATTAATACATGACCTACAATTATTTTGTTTCTGGTGCTTTGACCCCTTCAAGCCAGGATGTGAAGTTTGTGTACCTCTAGTATCAATCCACTATCAACTATAAATATAGACAAAGCCGTAACAAGGTTTATCAGCACTCCTGTTTCTTTAACATATTTTTGACCTTAACTAAAAACTTTTCAAGTATACCTGAGTGGTTAGACAATACTTTTAACTTCTTATGCACATAACCTGTTAAACACAAGAACAACATTTAAATTTACCATTGCAATATTAAGGATAATCAATGTCAAGATGACAGAAAACATTTTTTTACATTGATGTATACGTGGTTAATTGAAATAATGAATCCTTTTTCATAATGGTGTTCAATCACTAAAATTAAGTTTATTCCCAAAACCAATCTTCTCTAAATTCAATCCTAATAAAAACAAGAAAGAGAGTATCCACATTCCATGCAAATATATCAGTACATGTATACAGGGTGTCCCGCGAGGATTTACCCAATGCAATATCAGACAAAATCATTGAGATATCAAAGTTCTGGTTTTGTTATAAGACTCAAAGGGATAAGAACAATAATTTTTTGATTTTTTAATTTATTTTAATGTTTTTGTAAAAAAATTAAGAAATATATATTTTTTATTTAATTATTTCCAAAAAAAATAATGATAACCATTTTGTAGAGTTTATTTTTCTGAAAATATTGAACGTACTAAAATTTTATTTACATCAATATCCTGCTTTTTAGTATTTTTTCTAGTTTAGAAAAACTAAAATATGATTATAACTAGGCATACTGAAAACGTTTGAAAGACCTGGACATTATACATGTCAAAAAAATTTCAGAGCTTTCATTAATAAATGTTTTTTTTTTTTGTTCTAGTGATAGCTAATAAGCCACAACAACCTGCATACATCTCAGCATTGTTACCTCAAGATCAAGTATTTGACGAGGATCCAGATGAAAATGAAATACCACTACCTACTAAAAAAATGAAGTTCAAAAAAGATATTCAGATTAAAGAAGAATTTGATGAAAATGAAGAACAAGAAAATGAAAACGAAGAAGAAGAAGATTTAAATAATGGTGATGAAACTGAATCAAAACCAGAAGAACCCATTGACAACCCTTTCTTGAGACCTGTTAAGTATCCAGCCGCCCCTTAAAACTGTTGAACTGGTCATATAACACATTTTTAGAAAATCATCTTGACTATTACTATTAAAGTATTTTTTTAAACCAAATATGTAATCAGTCCCAGACCATTGTACATTTTGTTACATATTGTTATTTTAAGTAAAATAATTTATCTTATGAAAAGTCAGTGTTTTAAATTTAAACTCAAACCTTAATATTTATTCTATTTTATATCAAATGGAAAGGCTGGTTAGTGAGATAAGAATTAAAATTAATTTATATAATGATTAATACCAATTAAGTTACTTTATTTCACACAGTAATTTYATAATTTAACAGATTACATTTTATTTTAAAATTGTATAAGTATTATATAATATATTAATATACTAAGTAATTATTTATTTTTCAAATTTTTTTAAATTGCATGTTTAATATTTCATCTCTTAGCGTATATTATAGTAACATAGTGGGACGTGGTGGCCAAGCGGTCTAACCCGTTGGCTGTGGCTAAGCCGGACCAGGTTTGATCCTCAATCATCAGGTGGCATTTTTCTCCGGGCAAGTCACGGTGTCTGGAAAACAAGTGCCGCCATCCCCCACTCCGGGGCATGGCAGAAACCTACGGGTACCCCATTAGAAATTCTGCCAAACAGGCCTCTGGTGTAGGTTAGGTTAGTACACCCGGACAATAGCGCCATACGAGTTTATTTTATAGTATCATACCCGTATATGGCACAAACAAGTTAGTCGTAATTTCAACTAATTTGTAGTTAGGAAATGGAGTGCTGTTATCTACTACTTATGGGAGACAATTCTTTTTTCCACTATATATTGGTATGTGCAGTGTCGCAGTGATGTTCCCATAAAATTTAATGACCCAGCACTTTAACAATGTCAATAAAAAAGTATAGAAAGCTAAAAAATTCTTCCATACACCATTACATTAATTAAATTTTAAGCTATGACATGTGACTATGTAATTAATCTTTTTGATTTTTGTATTGAAAGAATTGTCGTTTAAATTTATATCTAGGATAATAATCCTAAAAATATTTAACCAGAACAGATAATTTATATTTGAAAAAAAATCAAAATTGTCAATATTTTATGGAAAAATTTTAAGAGAAAAGTTGTGTTTTTCACAAATTTAATTATTCTGAAAAGGAAGAAGTGTTGTGTGAATTTCTAAATATTAATAATTTACAATAATGTACTTAGTACTTACATTATAAATGTAATTAATTTTTAACACAAAATTGGTTCAACTAATTTCATATCATATAATATGTTTTGCAATTTTAAGACAAAGATAACACATGCAGGGCTTGAGACCTGGAGTCATCTTGAAGTTATACAATTTTCAAAATTTTGTTTTAAAGATAATAAATAGAATGATAAAGTAATTGACACATATTTCCCGTGGAGTTTCCAGCTCTCGGTAGCCTCTCTCTTCAGACAGTCCAGATAGTGTGAACTACCCGGAAAGTGATGCCGCCCAAGAAATCAGCCCAGCCACTACACCCCTCTCACACAATATTATAATGTCGGTTGAACTGGTTGAAGTGTAAAATGTATTATTATTTTAAGGAAACTGGAAAGATACCTTGGATAAATAAGTGAATAACTATAAGAGCTGCCATTAAATTAGTGAAAACTGTAGATTTAATATCCTGAAATAAAATGTAAATAAAAAAGGGGCCTGGTGCATAATTCTGTACTGCCTTCTGGGCCACAAAAATCGCTGAATGAGCCTGGTATTACCATACAATGGTAATCACTTTTACAACTACACGTCGCTTTAGTCATCCATAACACAATATTCTATATTATATTATTTGTTATTAGTTTATTACTGTTTCTTTATGACAGTGGTCCCCAGTTCCTCACATCGCGGCCTGCACTAAAATTAAATTGACATTCTAAAATCCAAATTTCAAGAAAAACATTTGTTCATTAACTTTTCCTACAATACCCTTTTCTAACAAAATATTCTATCTCGTTTTATTATCCTCCGCTAAAATCAGTATTTCAGTGAACAGTTGCAAATATATATATTTTTAACTAATATCATACTATTATTGAAAAGTTTCTTCAATCAAGCCAACCAAGCTTTTTTACGTATTCCTCTGTGCTCTATCTATAGTACTTATTGAAAAAATATGTTAAACAGATTGTACAAATTAAAGTTAATTTAATTTAAAAAAATATATATAAGCGGCCAGCAACTTATTTTCAAAAATTAAATTTGGTGCTTTCCAAATTTTCATAATGAAGACCATTGGCCATTGCTTAATATCTTAGATCGCGACATCGTGTACAACCTGTAACTGTGTTATTGAAATATTTATTCAATTGATCTAATGCAGCTAATGGCTATAACCATATAAATATGTATATATATTTATATGTTTATGCTAATGAGTAATGGTTAATGCCTTGATATTATTTATTTTTTGTAGTATATTAGGTTATTAGTTAGTACTGTTATTAGTATACTGTATCAAACTATCAAATACTCTATAATATGACAATACGGGACAGATAAGAATCACGACATACGTATGCCCCCCAGAATCTTAGTGGTTGCCTACACATATTCTGCTAAGCGCTTATTGAGTATATTTTGCTGTCAGTGTCAGCCTGCGTGACCATATAGTCATTCTTATTTCACATTTTATTATTTTGAAATTTAAAATTAAACTGTTGTTTTTCAATTAATTTATATACTAATATTTGACATATGTGTTATATAATAAACTCTCATTATGGAAAATGTAAAAAATATTAACTCAAAATACAGATTAGAAAATATTAAAATATCTCAGGATAAATAATACCYAAGTTAATAAGTTAGGTATAGGTAAGAAAAAAATTTAAACAGCCCATAAGTTACTAATGTATGATAGATATATTATTATAGTGTATATATTTATTAGTAATAAATTATTACATAGTGTAAAATAAATAGTAAAAATAGTATGTACTAGGTACCTACCTAATTTACAAGTTCATATTTATTTTTATTTTTTGTTTTTAATCATTTTTGAAAGCAGGCATGTTATTACATTTTTTTATAAAAGAATTTATACTTACATTTAATATCTTATCTACTAATAAAAACTTACAATTTAAACAAATRTTTGGTTTTATAGCTATATACAAATTAATTAGTTCAATCATTTTGATTTTGACTCCAATCTTACTTTTTTTAAATAAATTATTAATATTTTTATAAAATAAGCATATAATTTTACTTACAAAAATAATTGTACTTTTAAATGGATAAAGTAAATTACATTCATCATATTGTTTCATAGGAATAAATGTATTTTCGACAACATTAGTAATATTATTTTTATCTTCTGTAGCTAATTGATCAAGGCATTCAATATGACTTAGTTTGGAACATGCCCAACCAGYTACATATGCTATGGAATTWTCTTCGTGCAAATCCAACTGTATGAATGCAATGTTCATGGCACTCAAATTTTCATCAAACGAGGAGTCCATTTTGTTAGCTAATGAATATTCATTTTCCAAATGTWTTAATTTCATATTAAATTTTTGTTTATTCTTCAATAAGTCATTGCATTTGGTCAAAAACTCACAAGCTTCTATTTCACAATTTCCAGATGTAGGAGGAACTAGAAGTTKTTGTGTTACGCACATTCGTATGGCCGAATAAAACTTAGACGAATCTGGCGCAACATTATTTTCACCTTTTGCTCGTAGTACAGAAAATAAACTTTCCACACAATCTTGGGTCAGTCGTCTAGTAAGCAAATATTCAAATTCAAAATTATTTTGTAAATCCTTAAACAGCATTTTCAAACTATTAATATTTGAAAGCCAGCCACTAATACACGGTGGGTGTTTTTTTTTGGCATTTTGAATTTCTAATTTTGTTAAAATTTCATAAGACTCATTTAAAAAGATCCAATGCTTCGAATTGTTAGTCAATGGTTTTCGAAATATTTTTGGTTCATCGAATGTACAACTATTGAACATATCAAACAAGTCATCTATTATCTTCACAAATTTTGCAGTATGTAAAGCTTTTGAGTTCATTAAATTATTTKCAATTAGKGTAAACATAGCTGAACTTACAGTATGACTGAAAGTTTGAGTAGCTAGGCACACTCTCATTGGTGAAAAAGGTGGTAATTGTATGTGCTGATCTTTAAGCTTTGGTGCTAACTGTGAAACTTTATTTTTATTAATATTATAAAATTGTATTATATCTGACCATGAATATACTTCATTTTTATATATAAAATCATATTTGTTTAAATTGTTCCGTACAGATTTAATTAAGTGAGGTGTGTCATACATAAAATATATTTTTTCATCTTCAAATGTCAAGAATGGTTCATCAATTGTTATTTTTAACAGATTTCTCAGTTTTTGATTATTTGTGCCCTGATCACAAATTATTACTTTGGGTATTAAGTCTATAGATTTAAGTTTTTTTATTGTAGTCATAATAATAGTTTTCAACTTCAAACCAGAGATTGGACCTTGGACCTTTTGAAAAAAAATAGCCAACCACTTGTTTCCAAGGTTGTTTGATTCCTTTAACCATTATAACAAGTGCTTGATCACATAATAAAYTATTTTTTGTTTCTATTATAGCTCCAAAGTCTTCAAACCCAGAAAATACGTCATTTTGTGAATTATATGTTACAAATCTTTTAATTGACATCTCATCAAAAATGATTGAAACTGCTTTCTCCTATAGAGTTGACAATATAAATTTATTCTTCATTATTTTTAAAATATTATCATTAATACCACAAGAAAAATTTAAACAATGAAGCCATCGTCTTAGTGATCTTATTGTTGGTAAGCATAGGTATTTTCTCATAAATAAATATCCTTTAGGGGASTTATAATAAAGACTAAGTGCAAAACTTTTTTCTTCCTCTTTAAATCGCCATGCTTTTTTTTCATATTCATCAGTCTTATTTGTGTTTTTAGAAGAGAATTGTTGAATATTACTTCGCATTTTTGTTTCTTCAGTTCACATATTTGTTTATTTTTCGCATGCATAGATTTCTGATAATATCTTATTTTATTTTTGAATTTATTAATTTTATTTCTACACTCATTTAAATTTTGACTGGTGTTTTTTAATGAATTACCTAAAACCATACATTAATTTTAATATTGATTTTTTAAGATTTATTTTATTTTATTCAGTGTGATAATTCAAAC